TGTCAAATATAGCAATTATTTATTTTTTGTATTGCCTGAAATGAGTGAGCAATTCCAATTTAGGTTTCGAAACAAAATACAAATAATAACGCAAGAATACCATATTAATCGGTTAAATAGGATTATTTTCAATAATTTATGCTCATAGTTTGTTCGTGTCGTAGCACCTCGCAGCCTTAAGGACCATATATGTCCTCACTAGAACAAGTATTTTGAAAGGGAAGACTTGAACTCATTGAATACAGTCGGAATGTTTGTATTTTCTTTCAAATACTTACACATTCACGTTCTCTGTGTACTGAAACTTCTACTTTTATTATTTCACGCCTCGCTACCACCGACCCTCCTTCAAAACAAATTGAATTCCTCTGTGTTTGATGCGAGTTTTGTCGTGCATTTAGTGGCAAATCAGTCTGCTCGTTGCATGTATGATTCGTCAAACAAGCGGCAATGTTTCTAAGCGCCTTCATCCCTCTAACGGGGGTGGACACTGACTAGCGCAAAGAACACCCTTAAACTGCTTTTGTAACGCGCTGAACAAGTACGACTGACAGAAAACAGATGTCACTGCCTTAAAAATCAATGTATAACACCTGTTTCATCGATCCATTTCCCAAGTATTGTTTCTTCTCATGGACGTCTTCCACTGTCTTTCTTAAAGTGTGAGAAAATAATTCTCTACAAGGATGCGACGGTGTAAAATATTCTGGTTAAATTTGATTTTCCAATCATTGCCACTCGCCACAACAGACATATGTTCTTGTAATCTAATCCCCGTTTTCCGTCGTTTGCTTGGAATAATTAAAAAGTCTTAAAGACCAATATCTAGTTTTCATGTGTAAACTCTCGCGTTTAGATCCTTAATATTCCGTTTTTAAAATCGTCTTCACCACAACGTCTCTACGAGTTCTGGATGCTCAACGAGACACCACGATTCTTTGTTCAGGTGTAAGGTAGAGATTAAGAATTCGTGGAGCTATAGCTCATATTCTTAATTACACTCATGTCTTTCACGCCCATTTTAATATTATCCTACATCTGCTTTTAAGTCTCATAAGTATACATAAATAATTCTTTCCTTCAAAACAAAGATGGTCATTTATCTCGAAGAAAACATCTTAGATGGAAATTGTACCAGTAAGCCATATTCTAAAATCTCTTCATAAAATAGAATGTCATCTCAACCAAACTTTTTCTAAGGTCTCTTTCTGCCCTCCGCAACACATGCAATCTGCCTTTACCACCCCTTCCAATTACAGTCACCACTCATCCATACACTTTCTTCGCCATTTTCTCCATCATTCATCCATATTCTTTCTTCAGTGAGAATAATTTCTTCGTCATTCATCCAATCACATCATCCCCTCCCAATTCCCCCCCCCCCCCCCCAAACTCTCTCTTCGCCATTCATCACGACATTTTGTAGGTAATTCCTTCCTGTTCTTACTAATTCATCCAAAATATTCACCAGTTACTCCCAACGTAATGACAATATTATTAAACGACATTTAGTTTTACTCAGACTACGTGTTTCGGGGCTAATCTATAATTCACACTTCCATATTCTTTGTACCGGAAGTGGAATTATTTAAACAATTATATGCCTACATAGCCTAAAGCAGGGTTCCTCTACCTTCTCCACCCACGGCACACCCTAAATTTTCAAAGGCGCATTCGGCACACCATCACTAAAAGGGGGTATAAAATTATACATAGCCATGTATCTGCATATAAATGTTTGTCATACAGGAGCCCTAGCCTGTGAAAATATTACATAATCTACTAATGATGAATCAGTGTGTGTGTTAAAAATTCCAATTACGAAAGATAAGGTTATTGCCTTTTTATGAATGTAACGTGAGAATGTACAATTTCTTATAAAAATTCGACGCCCACCTGAATCCCGTGGCTAAGTAACACCGGTTTAAAGCCTATTATTATATCTCAGTTTCCATCAATTGTTTACAAGAGTTCTATGCCTTGTAAGGTTTCTATTCATGAACGTATTGACATACCGAATCTAATTCAGTGTCAGCTGAAATGTTATTGACCGGTTTATCACCGGCTGTCAATAGCAACAGACTGAGGTAAAGATAGTACATGTGATATTTAACTCATCTATGGTACACGTGCTGCCACATCGTGGTACGTCATGCAAGCTGTGTAACCTTTAGCCCCCTCTTTCATTTCTTAAAGAGGTCTCACGCCCTTTCAGTTTGGTTCCCCGGCAACTGCCAGCCAAATTACCGCCACTGTATACTAGAGGAAACATGAAACTCAAGCAAAGTTGATATATGAAAGCAGACTTTTTCGAATATTTCTTGCTGTGTGGCCCTTAATATCGAATTTCACTTTTGAGATACTTGAGAATAAAATTCAGATAACCGGACTGACATTAGCGACAGTTGTAGAGATCAGACCTATTACATTTTTAAAAGTAAAGCACTAAATTAACAAGACGGACTATTTATCGATAGGCGCTTATCTCATACATCGATAAATATCCATACACGTGCATTGCAACGTATCTATGACTCAGAAAATGTTCAGATTTCATTTAGTAGAAGATCATCGATTTCTCCAAGGCAATATATGTCAATATTTTATTTATTTAGTGTTCTGTCTGAGGACAGGTCCATATGAACAGGATCCTTCCATCCTTTTCTCGGACTGGGACCTGTTCATATACGTTCTTGGCAGATGATCCAGAAGTGGTTTGCCATTGCCTTCTTCTGTGTGTAAATGGAGTAATTGTTGGGATGCCACGGAGAAACCGGGGAAGCCCCCGAAGGAAAACTCCGTGTTGCCTAGACCACGGCCTTGCCCAACACATGTTATAAATTCGGGCACCGCCGGGAATCGAACCCGGGACCCCAGGATTACAAGGCCAGCGTTCTAACCGCTAGACCACCGTCATGAAAATTCAGTAGGTAACTAATTGGCTCACTATGCACGAACTTCGTGAAAGAGACACAAAATTGTCGGATTCTTTAGTGGGAAACGCCAATTTCCAAAAGGGATAAATCACTTTTAGTAGTCCTGAAACCCTGTCCAGTGACACGAGGACACTGATGTTAGCGATATTTGCGTTGGAAACTAAACGAATTACACGAATAAACGTATTTCTATCTGTAGAAGAAATTACGCCCCGCTTGATATGAAGCTTTCACGACGACCGAGTATAATAAATTCTGCTCGGGTTACCAGCCGTGTAAGGTGGCTTATGAAGAAAACACCAACGTCTCGAGACCATCTTCGTCCTCAGGTGAGCCACCTTACACGGTCGGTAGCCCGAGAAGAATTTATTATAATGAGGCCCTGTTTGTGATTCACGGATCTAACTACAATCAATTTTTTTGTTGACTGATAATAATCACGAAGTTTCTTTTACAGTTTTCGGCTGATTAAATTTGTGGTTATGAATCGCATATGTATTAGGAAATGTACATCTATTGAGGTTGCAGGAGCAATGCCATAATTTTGTGACTCGTGCGTACTGTGGATGCAGTTTGTGAGTGGCAATGAAAGTTGAAGCTCAGAAGAGACATCTGAACTAAATTATAGAAGAGTTTTTCATCAAGTCCACATTTATATAGTCTGTCAGGAACAAAGTTTCAGTGATAAATCTGGAGTCTTGAGAAAGAGGTGGGTTTTTATTCCATGAAAACTTCGTGTTCTTGTAGCTGCACTGATTAATGACAGCTCATAAGGAATTATTATGACCATGAAATGAATTTTTTACAATCGGATTCTCTACTTGGACACGAAATCACTAAAACAAACAAGCAAAGAACATGCAACAGTTTGATAAAAAATCTGTCATGAATTTTTTTGAAATAATTCAAGTAATACTTGTAATAGGGTAGAGGTTGTAAGTAGGAAAATAAGAATTACTAAGAAATATTAACCAAAGACTTGGAAATAAATTAATTTTAAGTTGGTGTTTTCTTTCCTGTCGTTAAAGGTGAGAAGATATTAAATATTCAGTAATTAAACAGAATGTTTTAAAATAGCTCCTTTAATTTGCGTGAGTTTCAGCAAGAAGGCAAATAATGTCTTTCCCACACCTTCCATGAAAAGTAATAAAGGGAACTGCAAACAAAAATAAATGGAAATGCAATATCAGAAAGAGAAAACATGACTGTTCTTGAAATCCTACAGAGTGGACAGAATCACCGATTTTCTAAACACAATAAGAGTCTTAAACTTTACAAGAAATTTGACGTAGTATATGTTGAAAATTTGTTAGCAAAGTAAAAATAAATGTGAATTCTTTTACACACTTTCTTGAAATATAAAGATGATTTTGAATATGTCATGTTGAAAATTCCGAAAATTACAGACAGAACCTTCCGTTCTTAAACGTTACAGCAATATGAGTGTGGCAAGGTTCTACTTGCAAAATATAAAATTCAGTTACAGGTAAACCATTTTGAAACTAGTAACCGGACTCAGAATCAAACAAAAAACCACCCCCAGTAAAAATTCCAAGGTTCAAAGATGTGAGGAAATAACTACACAATTTATAAAACTCTGAATATTTAAAGTAATTTTTCTCAAAACTTATGAATGTTCACTCAGAACCTTCTTGTTTTAAGCCCACGACGTGGTGAGCTGACAATAACCCGAATTTAGGCTTGAACCCCTCCATTAACTCCAATGCTATTCAGTTATACGTTCTTTGCACGAAGTTCATAGGAAGAACAAATTATGGGCTCGTCGTATCGTAACTTGAGAACCACTAGACGGATTGGGATGAAATTTAGTGTGTAGGTTATGCCATTCTTTACGACCTCAGAATCGTTCTTTTGAATATCCTAGGCGCGGTCATAGAAATGACGGACGAGGGAAGTCGTGAGATGGACATTGAGGTCCTGCAATAATCCGGTGACCATATAGGGAATTTGTTTGTTTACAATGGTTACTATTGACGACCACTGTTACGCGTTCTCTGAATGTTAACCGTGGTTACTATGTGGTTAGTATTGATAGAAGTGGAGATCAGCCGAAGTGTAAAACCGTCAGCCATTACAGTCAATCAGTAATCTTCCGAACTTAAATTAAACGTGTTACCGCAATACCATTAAGTCTACTAATGGCAGGGTTAATAATGCACAGATATAAATAATTAAATATATAATAATTAACTCACGCATAGAAAGACAATATTCATTCTGTATCAATGATAGAGGAAGGAGTTACAATTTTACGTAAAGAAATTTGGTAATATCCCAAGTGATTTTTTTAATTTAGTGTATTGGGATGTTTTATGTAAATATATCAATAAACGTTTAATGTATTGTTATAAAAGAAGATCAAATTAAATGCTAGAAATTCTTGTTACCATGCGTTTCAAAATCTATTTCCCTTCGCATCTGCTCTGATTAATACCTGCAATTTTGTTACGTTGCAGGATGTGAACTCTGGTCTCTCAAACTAAGGAGGGAACAGAGATGAGGGTTGTAACCTAACCTGCACACTTCGGCGCAACACTTATAACCTGATCGTACAAGGTATCCGCGACACTAGCTTATGAGATGTCACGAGATGCGGCTTCTTTGATGCCTGTTGTCCCAGTTAGGTGGAGGTGTTTGCATGAGAAGTTTGCGTGGTGTATTATGGGGCTTAACACGTAAGTAACGTGACGCGAAGCGTGGAATGGAGGTAAGACTGCAGAGCTCAGGTGAATTATGTAGCAGGTTTATTCAGCTGCTTTCCCACGCCCCTTTCTGAACAGACAGAAGTTACACACAAACGCTGAATATCTTTAATCGTAATATAATTTTAATTACTACAACAAATTCTCTCTCTGATTACTGCCTTGCTAATTAAGTTTGCCGTAAATATGAATATTTTAAGTCACGTAAATTAAATGCGGCAATTTAACACCAGAATAAAGTCTATGAAGAATAACTGCGAGATGTAAAGTGAAGTTCGCTAGAAAATTTGCAAACCCCTTTTTATCAAAATTAAATATTCTATATTCGCTCATGGTCAATAGATGTGAATTACCAGAAATATTATGATTAGTTATTTATATAACATAACAATATAACAACTAGTGTATCGTGGAAATGGAATATAGCTGATACTACACACTAAGTTTCTGTCTACATTAAAACAATTTTGACGGAATACGTTTTAATTACAAATTTAATACCCTCGCTAAACCTGAAACCTGATTGGCATCTCAGGGAGTGGAAACAACATTTTCAACCGAGATCAAGCTTAACTGAGTTAATGAAATATGTGGGTCGTCAAACTACTGAAATGAAGATGCATTTATATTATCTCGCGTGTGTTTCTAAAGTCAACAGAATATCAAGAGAAGATTAGGTTACCATGTGGCTAGCTGCACCTGTAAGCGTTTTGAGCCCGGGATTCGAACTCTGGTCTCGACGGGACATGAACGGTTTCAGGAAGATGAGAATATTTAGAACTGAGAATTATGAAATGGGAGAAGGATGGAGAAACTGAAGAGTAAAGAACTTCATGTTATAATTTTCTGCAAATATTATTAGAAAGTTCAAATCAAGGAAGATGGCACGGCGTGTAACACGAACGGCAGACACATGCTTACAAAAGTTTGTTTGAAAAGCTTGAAGTGTATAAATTTCTCGGAAAGCCAAGGATAATATTAAAACGAATTTAAAGTAAATGGGATGGTTGGATTCGTGGCTTAAGGCAGGGAGCAGTTTAGTTTTCTTACGAAGACGGTATTTATCCTTCGGGTTCAACGAAAAGCAGAGATTTTTTGACTAGCTGAGCGACTATTAGCTTGCCGAAGTAGTCTACGGAGTTGGTTAGTTATTAATTTAAAGCTGCAATTGTTGGGACAACGTAAAATTCGTGAATCGAGAAATAATCATCAAACTTCTCTACCTGTTACAGCTTTTATCTTAGTTATTGATGATTTTCCAATTTTCAAATACCAACACAATGTGGCGACCGGAAAAACAAAATTCGAGACAAGAAGACTTCTAGACGATAATCCGCTGCTCAGTCTACCCAGACCCGATTTGAGAGTAATGCAACAGAGGGCGACACTCCTTGTTGGCAGACTCAACGTTGAACACGGAAGTGGGACCGCTATGAACCGCTAGCTTTACGTCGGATGCGCGCGCACCATGAAGTCGTCATAGTAACCCACGTTAAGGTATTTCTTTCTTTGTCGTGGGTTCACCACTATTTTCACACAGCTTAAATTGCGAGCTATATTTAATTACATCAGCTTTTAATACTTTTCTTAAATATGATACATGCCGTTTACATTTGTGTTACGTAATACCATACTATCTATCTATCTTAACAGAGAATATCTTTAAAGGGAAATTAGGCCTTTATGAACCAGAGCTGCCAACTCATTTAGTACAGTTAAATAAATACTGGCAGTATCCAGCAATGTTTATCATCATCTGTGGCTCTATAAGCCAGTGTGGGTCTGTATAGAGCAATTTACTCAACATAATTACAATAAATACCGATAATATTAACATTTTATATCATACACCTCTCAATGTAACATGTAATTCACTTAAATAGTTCGGGCAAATAGGTTTAACAGTTAGGCAGCCATGTTTCTCCTTAAAATAATAACAATTTAGATTTAATGTTAATTTTTACGTGTCATGGCCGCATCTATCCTAAACTATTGGCCAAGATTATTAATGTCATACTACGTTCTAATCACCATGGTTACAGAACCCAACGCTTGATAACACATATTCGAGAGTTGATGTCGTGGCCATACCGTGACCGGGGCGCGATATTGAAATGTACGAAGTAACGGGAAGATTGGGTTAATGACATTCGACGGCTGACTCAGCGACCTAGGACTCAGCATTCTTGTAAGTGGCTGTAACTCTCGTTCACAAAACCTGCTATTAATTGTAACATAAAACACAGATATTGGAGTCGGCTATACAATCACAACACAACGATAAAAAAGGGATTAAATTAAATAAAGTAAATAGCCTTAATTTTTAAGATACTAGAGCGAAAAGCAGTTAATATATTCAGAACAAAGCATGATGACTATTCTCGTTACTCTAACTTGACTCACGGTCTTCTTTAACTTTCGGATAAAGAGCTGAATTAAAAACAAAACATTCCGTATTTAACCTCAAAATTCTGTGAAATTTACTTCAATACAAAAAACACATCACATCACATCACATCACTGTAATAAAATAGATTCTTAACTTTATTTCACTTACCTCTAATCGTACTGGGCATATCACTAGCTGATCATCTCCTTTCTTCCTGTCATTAAATGATCCCTAGCCTGACGTGTTGACTTGGTATCCAGAATGCAGGAAAACCCATCCACTTCTTGATTGACACAATAATAATCGAAAATTCCGCACCGATATTCCACTTTTGAAATTCAAACATAACACTTTTAACTGTTGGTGTCAGCTCTCATTTAGTTCCTAATAATGTTAATAATCTTGAAGGTGGACCAACAAATGTACTATTTATGTTCAATAATTCATCAATGGAGCAACATAACATTTGGAAAAGTATATAAAATATTCTTCTATCACATAAATACGAGTTTCATCATCGGAATAAAACTTTGAAAAGCACGAAATAAAATAAATTATTCGAACAGTGGACAAATCACACACAGCAGGAAGTGTAAGTATAACAAAATAACAAGTCACTTCAGTCGCTTCAAACGTTGATATAAATTCACACACTTGTATAACACACAACTGTCTTATAAAATATAACAACGTAATATATTGCACTGAGTTTGATTTAAATTACTAGAAAATATAATAATAACAAAAACAATGAAACAACGAATTAAATCGGCCTTATTCGTAATGACAACACATACTGTCTTTGGCTGTCTATGTTCACACCAAAACAGCTAAGCTAGCACTAAAATGGCGGGCAACAATGGGGTGTCCTCCACTCCCCCAAGTGACCGACCGCGTCTACGTTAGGTCTTCGCTACTCTGATGTACTGCCTTGAACTTGAACATTTCTCCACTACCTGATTCTTCTCCCGCCGCTAGAATCCCCGTCACACAGCAGGTAGCAAGCCTACTCGGCCATCATTATATTTGTGGTAGATAGGTGGCGTATGTCTTCAAGCAGCGATTAAAAAATATACATGACAAAACACAAGCAAAAAGGATTCATATGAATGTTCAACTTTTCTCTCACTGCGGATATATTTAACGGAATCGCTGTCGGTCACCGGATGGACAAAAAACTTGTAGTGAGGAATAAAACTCCTTCATTTTACTCGTGTACTGTATTACTTTTTCTGGCAAGAGTAAAAAGAAATATTGTTGATAGCGGTACGTGAAGAGAATAGAAGTAGAAGTGCTGACATCTCTTGGTCTGGCATGTGAACTAACACCTACTCTATACCTTAAATACTACTTCATATAATAATATAAAACGCATAGCAACGCGGTCATTGAACTCTATTGGGCAAACCAACGGTTTGTTTATATCCTGCAGTGTATGACTGAAGAACTTGTACGACGGTGACTGGCCTACAGAGACTTCTTACTGAGCATGCGCACAAGCAGCACAGCTGTGCGAGGAGCTGGTGGTTACGTATGAGACTGGCTAGTGACGGGTCTCCATCTTCCGAGTTATCTTCTTACTGTACTGTACTGATTTATACCCCAGATACAACGGGAAAGTACAGAAATGCAAAAGAGAAATACATCTATGAAATGCCGCTGAATATTATATTTCCTACTTAGGCACAAGAATTTTAAACTAAAAGTTCACCAATCGTAAAGAAATCTAAAAAGGTGTTATTTTCTGTTGAATTTGGTTATTTATAAATTGTTTCATTAAGGTAGTTATGTAATGCGTTTTTATTGAGTCTCTAGGTTAACACAGCTGGTGACAATTTATTAATTAATTTATTAATTCAGTTCTTGGCAGCAAGACGACTGATTGCGAACAGTACAGCAGAAATCAGAGTCCCGGCAGGACTTTCCCTTAAAAAAACACCTTTTTAAAATGAATTTGGGGTCATTTTCTTCGTTTGAGAGTGTAATGCTGTAAGAATACACACGAACTTGTGAGCTCACAACTTAAAAATGCATTGTGTTCATAAGTCGGACGCTGTACCTGTGTTCGCGAATCTGAAAGCCGTGTCCAAATATGGCAATATGCTAACACAGGAAACCCTCTTTGAACGCGAGTTTGTCCAAAGCGGATTCGAACATACGCGTGAAAATAAAAAAAAACAACAGTTATTTGCTTAACGTGGAAAGTTCTATTAAACGCGTTCTGTCAAACACGCTTCACTAGCATACGAAAAATGAAGGAATAGAACCATTAACTTACCATTCTTTGCACATGTGTGAAGTCTCTTGACTTGCCAACAAGATGGAGTCAAGTCTGTCTTTATTATTTAACCTCTTATTCTCAGTTATCACGAATCAGGCTTCTTCCAATTCTGAAAAAAATTATGGAAATGTGAATACTTTAGATAATTAGTGGCATTCTTTGGACTGGGGATCGACCCATTACATTTAGCCTCTTCGTTTACAACACGAAAGAAAGCGATACAAACTAGGGCTCAAGGCAATAGTGACTTAGATTACACATCTGCTGAAAAATTAGGTAGTTGTCATTGAAGAAGGACATAAGTGCACTCGAACTGAGATAATTATGACTTCTAACAAGTGAATCAACTTAGATAATCAGGATCCCTTTCCGTGTTATAATTAATAATAACTGGATATATACTGCATTCGTAAGTTATTTAATTTTGGGTGTTATAAGCTAAATGCGGCAGAGTCTTAATGTCGTTAAGCTAGTCAAAAATTATTCCATCTTTTATAGAATTCAAAGCGTTCAAAATGCAATGCAGAAACTGATTTTTATCCTGAACTAATCCTATTTATGTATGATTAAATTAATATTAACCTCTCATTTATTCACAAGTCTCCCGACTGTGGTCTCTTACCTACAGATTTATATTTATTACACGTAAACCTGAGGGGCACATAAAACCTCTTCTGTGGTAATTGTGTCAATTTTTAATCAGATTGAATTATTTTTATCTTTTCAGATTTGTGGAAGCATAACCCACTCTGATCAAGTAAATGATAAGAACTTGGGTAAGTTTAGGGTGCAATAATATTCTCTATTCGAATTAGTTTTTATAGCCGATATATATTCTAGGATGTCAGTAGACTTCTTATCGATATCGGAGACATTCATACAAATTTCCAATCGCTAACCTGGATCAGAGTTTCTTAAATTCCTCATTAAATTTAATCACATTTATTGCCTGTTATGAGCCGGGATAGCTCAGTCAGTATAGTGACTAGCTACGGGCTGGACGACCGGGGTTCGATCCCCGATGGGGACAGAGGATTTTTCCTCTAGCCTCTGCGTCCAGACCGGCTCTGGGGCCCCCCCCGCCTCCTATACAATGGGTACCGGGGTCCTTCCCGGGGGTAAAGCCGGCCGGGGCGTGATGCTGACCACTCACCCCCATCTAGTGCCGGGGTCAAGGAAGAGAGGAGCTATACCTCCTCTCCCCCCAAACGCCTACATGGCGTATAGTGGGACAAACTTTACTTTACTTACTTTATTGCCTGTTACTTCTATTTCAGACAAAAAAAAATGCCACCGTTGTTTACATATTTCTTTATTCCTAACAACCAAATATAAATTCCCAAGATGTTATCAAATAAACGGAATATCGAATGTTTCATGTTTACCAATAAATAGATTTAAATAATATTAAATCTATACTACCAAGAAATTCTTCGATAAATCGATCCATTTTAATCATATATTTTTTTCTCTTGTTCCTGTATGGACACCATCTTACATCCCAACGATTTACGCAGGAATATACTTTGCAAAATGTAATATCAGTTAGATTTATTTCAGCACAATTTTGACATCTCATCGGCCTGAACGTTTGTTTCTTTGTCCTTTTAATTGCTTCTTCGATTAAAAATATTGTTGTGTGAGTATTGCTGCTACTGTGGCCAAAAATATCAATCTTAAGTGTGATTTTGACAACAAATATCTTTTCATCTAGTATATTTGGTTTCAGGCCGAGATATGAACAGGAAATCTTATAAGTACGTAACAGATCTTTAACTGTGCAACAGAATACTGGCTATTTTTAAATTCCGTCACTCAAAGCTTTCATAGGCATACGCATTCTTAATAACATCGATTTCTCTAAGGCATTTTTGATACCGGAACTAGGTCTATAATTGTAACAGGAAGTGTTTCACAGTGCCGGTAATAGTGTTCAATAAAGATTAGGAAACTAACCACAGCAGATATGTGAGTCAGTCGGAGTGATTTGCTGCTGGCAGACAAAAACATAGTACGAAGTTCTTCAGCCAGCCCTCCGCCTTCACGAGCTTATGTCTACATTCCAAGGTATAGTAACGGTAACCATTTTGCACCTCGTTCGTTACTGCCGTGTCCCCTATCCTTAGCACTGGACGAGACATTGTACCTGAAGAGAATACAGTAAGTAAGTCACTTACTGTATCGTAAATATTATTGTTTGTTGCCCTACTTTGTCTCCTCAGGGCTGCAATCTCTCTACGGCTCTGCTGCACGTGGTCAAACTCTCATGTCTGACTGAGTGACGGACAGACTGACACGATTTGCTGTCACACAAGCTAATATTCTGTCCATCATTGCTGATTCAACCTGCGAAACTTTCCATCTGGTACTCTGACACGTGTCTCCGTTCCGACAGCCGGAGCGATTCAAACAAATACGCTTCTTTGACTTAAATACTAATTTATTCTTATTCTTATTCTTCCTGTGGCTCTACACCCCAGTGTGGGTCTTGGCCGCCACCTTTTGAAGGTTTCTTAGTCTTCCATGTGTGCATTTGTAAGTCGTGAGTGACTAGCTTACTGTCTGAACAATTTCTACTCAATCCTGATTTTGTCTGCTAGAGCCATCTAGTAGAGAATCAGGAGAGACTTGGGTGAGAAATGGCCGCTGAATTTTTGCTTATGAAACATCTCGTACATGATCGTAAGGTTTCCTTTACATGCCGTAAATCTGCGACATGGAACAGCTGAGTTTACTTCCCCTCCGAAGGAAGTTCTGCTTCTACCCTGGGAAATTAATAATTATGGGTATCATTGATTATTTAACGATTATATATCGAATTAAATGTAGGAATTACTAACATTTATCAGGAAGATCAAACAGGAAATTAAACTGTTGTGTCCTATTACAAGATTATTTCACCCAATCAACACCTTCCGAAAACCAAAAAAGAATATAAAAGATTATGCTTATGACATTACTGAAGAAAGATAAGGACATAGCACCCAGTCATGAGTAACGTACAAAGCAATTATGCCACCAAGTCAGTCTTTCAGTCCCTGGTCAGTATGAGAGATGTTCATAATTTCTGACCTGGCAGTGTATTGATTATCGGTGTCAGAATCCAGGAGGTAGATACCGTATTGTGAATGACCCCTGACAGATGGCGCTGGCTTTCTCTGGGCCCACCTACAGGTGAATATGGGATTGATTTCTCCTGTGGTTACATTAGTCCGTGTTATGCATGCAATTACCAGAGGAACGTGTATCATCACGAGATTCAAGGTGTGGGAAATAAGAGTTGAAATAACGGATCGTTATACTGCGCGAATGTGGATATGTGTGAAGATTAACGCAATAAAAATAAGTAAATGGTCTTCACGCACGCAGAACGCCGGTTTATGCAAAGGGAAAAGTGGGTAGCCATCTTGGGACCCGTCTATCACCGAGCTGGCGTCGATACTATGTGCTTGAATTTCTCCAAATTATGCCCGAGTATCTCAAGAATTTATGTGTAATTTTTTTCGTTATTTGTTATATTGAGTTTTCAATAACTGTACAGATGTAATTAGCGTGCCGAAGTCTTTAAAAGGCAATTTAGTTTTCTAAGTTTAACTGACATGAGACATGACTGTCTTACCGTTACACCGTATAATCTTGTAATTATTTATGGACGTTTCAGAGGAGCTTGCTACCTCTATCATCAGGATGATGAGATTAGGGTATGTAGGCAGCAGACGCACTAAATACGTACTTATTTCAGCGTTACTACATTTTGGCACTTCTGATTTTGATTTATAAAGTATTCGGAGCTACGTTTTGAAAGGTACAAACCATGAAAACTTTTACAATTTGTATTTTAATCATGTCTTTCCTTTCGTCATACTTTTCCCAGGATTAGCCTTATATTAAATTTGGCACTGGATACGTTTGTTGACGTTATCACTAACTGGTTAACATGCATATATGTTAACCAAAAGAATCAAGATTCATTTATTGGAATATAAATAGTAACGAACTACAATATAAAATATAAGTAACTGGCAAATATACGAATAGCGTAACAGTTCTGGTACGTTCGTTTACCAGAATTTGGCCTCTCACATTTGCTAACGGCGCCCGTGGCGTCAGACTTGCCTGGGATCAATGCACTTTGACCCATCACCATAGTACTTAGACCCCTGTAGCTTTTAACATTTGAGTTTTCCGTCAAATCAAAGTAGACGTTTCGAGATAATTGGTTTCTTTTTACAGATTTAATAGCATTATAGAAGTTGTATGCCAGTGGCACTAGATTCATTGGAGAAAGCGAATTTAATTATAGTAATTTTATTTACTGGACCAAACCCCAGTAATCTAATAGGAGCAGAGTGTGAAAATTCAATTCTTTATACTACATCGTTTCACTGCTGGGATAACGTTAGTAAAATTATATGCTGTATTACCACGAATATATTTCTTTATATAACAAAATAAGATCAATAAAGTATGTTATTTATGCAAAGTAATTGTTAAGATCAAAATAAGATCAATAAAGTATGTTATTCATGCAAAGCAATTGTTAAGACTGTCCAATTTAATTAAAGTCCAAACGGCTTGAAAATTTGTCTTTGAATTCTCTAAATTCTTCTAAAACAGGATGTTAGTGAAGGAATCGAGTATAACACATCACGTAATGACGAATCAAGGAGGATTAAAGAACACGAAGTACGTATGGAAGAGAGGACATGATGAATACAGGATTCAGGTGAAACACTTGAAGGGAAGAGGTAGGTTGAAATGGAAACAGAGTATTTCAATGGATATTAACGACTAGTCTGTGACGATGGGGACTTGATTCATCTAGCTTAGGAAAGGGTTCGGTGGCGCGTTCTTGCCAATATGGTAACAAATAGTCTGGTTTCATTAAAATGCTGTGAATTTCTAAATTTGACCTGCTGAGTAGGAATCACATTCTCAAAAACGGCTGTGTTGCACTCATTCAATCGGTTAAATGGTTACCTTCACTTCCCGGACACACTACGTCCAGAAAAATGCTCACTAGGTAGGGTCCACTCATTATAACAGTACCGTAAACTTCGAGAATTCCACACATCGATTCCGTCATGTTCGATACTACTGAAGCGATTGCCTAAGCCACTACTTCTACACTTATGTACGTCAGTCAACGCTTGTATAAAAGTAATAGTTGATACGACGTTGTTAAATGGTCCCCGTATTAAACAGGCATAGCTATTAACTAACCTCATGAAGCTGACTCGTTTAAGAGCTGATAGTCTCTCAGACAGTAAAACAAATCGTCCGTCTTTTATAAATTTTAAAAATGTTATGCCTATATGTTATATAAATTATTTTTGACAAGCCATACTAAATGAGAAATAGTCTTACAGTTGGGCCGACATACGGATATGACCCATTTGTGCAATTTTACATTTTTTCCACTCTTTGTCAATAGGTGCGTTTGATTTTACGTTTCCAAGGTTTCTAGAAAATTATCTTTAGTGATCAGACAAAGTTTCTACGAGATTTTCAGAAACTTCATGTTATTTTCCTGCATTGGAAATTGAATGACGTTGATTTCCTTGGTTCAGGCAATCCTAAGACTGGATTACGAAGGCCCAGTACACGGTTTAAGTCTGAAAGACGTTATCTCCATGACAGATCTTCCTGCTTCATTATCTGGCTCCAGATGAATATTATCTCCTGGACTCTGCCGAGTATAAGCCCATTTTGGGCTGCCACGAAGGGCGGACAGGGGCTAGACTAATTCCATAAAGAAGTCTTATTCTTGAGAAGC